AAACTCCATGGCTTGAGTTAGGTGCACCTCAGTCCTCAAAGTGATTTCTTTGCTTTTTAACATGTTAAAGAGATCTTTTGCAGTATATTTGCCCAAGGCAATGCCACTTTATTTCTTGACTGCTGCTTTCATGGGCATTGACTGTGGATCTAAGGAAAATGAAATCTTTGACAATTTCAATCTTTTCTGCATTTGGCATGATGTTGCTTAGTGGTCCAATTGTGAGGTGTTTTTTTTTCTTTATGTTGAGGTGTTATTTATAATGAGAATCTTTGATCTTCATTAGTAAGTGCTTCAAGTCCATTTTGCTTTCAGCAAGCAAGGTTGTACCAACTGCATATTGCAGGTTGATAATGAGTCTTCCTCTAATCCATAATGCTGCATTCTTATTCAAATAGTCTGGCTTCTTGGATTATTTGCTCAGCATACAGATTGAATTAGTATAGTGAAAAATATAACCCTGACGTATACCTTTCCTGATTTTAAACCACAGAGTATTCCCTTGTTCTGTTAGAACCACTCTTCTCGATCTACATACAGGTTCTTCATTAGCACAATTAAGTGTTCTAGAGTTCCCATTCTTTGCAATGTTATCCATAATTTGTTATGATTTACGTAGTCAAATGCCTAAAACCACAGGTAAACGTCTTTCTGATATTCTCTGTTTTCAGGCAAAATGTATCTGACATCAACAGTGATACCCCTTGTTCCATATCTTCTTCTGAATCCAGTTTGAAATTCTGGAAGATCCTTATTAATGTATTACTGCAACCATTGCTGAATTTTCTTCGCAAAATTTTACATATGTGATATTCATGATATTGTTTGTTCATTTTTGAAAGGATCACCTTTCTTTGGCACAGGCACAAATATGGATCTCTTCCAGTCAGTTATCCAGGTGGCTGTTGCCCAAATTAATTGGCATAGGTGAATGATTGTTTGCAGCTTTGCATATGTTTGTTAAAATATCTCAATTTGTATTCCATCAGTTCCTGGAGCTTTGTTTTTCACCAGTGCCTTCTGTGCAGCTTAGACTCCTTCCTTAAGTACCATCAGTTCTTGATTGTATGTTACCTTCTGAAATGGTTGAATATATTGACCAATTCTTTTTAGTACAATGTTCCTTCCATTTTGTTTGATACTTCTTGTGTCTTTTTGTATTTTGCCCATAGAATCTTTCAGTATTGCAACTTGAGGCTTGAATTTTTTCTTCAGTTTTTTTCAGCCTGAGAAATACCAAGCATTTGCTTTCCTTTTGGTTTTCTAACTCCAGGTCACATTTCAGTATAATACTTTACTTTGTCTTCTTGAGCTGCCCTTTGAAATATTCTGTTCAGCTCTTTTATTTCATCATTGCTTCCATCTGCTTTATCTACTCTAAATTTAAGAGCAAGTTTCAGTGTCTTCTGACATCCATTTTGGTATTTACTTTTCTTTCCTTTCTTTTTAATGACCTTTTGCTTTTTTCATGTATGATGTCCTTGATGTCATCCCACAAACTTGTCTGGTCTTCAGTCATTAGTGTTTAATGCATCAACTCTATTCTTGAATGTAGCTCACCTGAATCTATTCTAAATTCAAGTGAGATATAATCAAAATTCACACTTCAGCTGTCTTGGATTTGTTTCAGTTTCTTCAGCTTTAACTTGAACTTGGGTTATACAGTCAAATTATTATTGAAAGGGGCTCAAGTAAAGCCATGTTTTTCTCTTTTTCTCAAGTTGATTTTTCACTGTTAATTCCTGCCCAGCAAATACTACTCATCTTTCTATGCACTTTGCCTCAAACTTGAGCTTCATTTGTACTAAAATCCCAGGGAAAATTTGCTGTCTCCTGTGGACCTTTCTGAAAAGCTGTTTTCCTTGCCTGGAATGTCCTTTCCCTTTCCTTAACTCAACTAACTCAGACCTGCTTAAGATACAGGTGCAGGTGTCATCTCCTCCTGGAAGCTTTCCCTGAGCAATTGAAGTTGATCAGCTAGGCTCCTATGAAACCAAGTGCATCTTTCTGCTCTTGAAATTATGGATGTGCACAAAAATAATCTGTTCACATGTTTGCTTCTCCTTGTAGACTGTAATTTATTTGAGGACAGATGTGTCTTATTTATCACTGAATCTTTAGTCTCTTGTTCAAAACCCAGTATGAGTACTAGAGATGTAATTTTACAGAGCCCTTCCAATTCAGACCCATTTTGATGTGGCCTACAAAGCAATGAAAAAAGTAGTGATTGTACCCAGTTTCTGAACCTCATGACTGTGGGTGTGTTAAGGCTCAAGTCTTGAGTGGGAGTTGGGAATGGTATAAAACACAGGATTAGAGAGGGTTGAGAGTGAGGGCTGAAATAAGACTCAGGGTGGAGGAAGGGCTAGAAACACCTGTGGCAAATGTTACTTTATAGAAAAAAAAAAATTTAAAAGGTTTATTTAGCCATAATACAGCCATATGAAAATTGCCTCCTTTGGTTTGATCCATGGAAAGTACTCAATAAATGTTTGTTGAACTTAATCATTTAACCAATGACATGTGCTCAACCCTCCCCTCCTTGTCCTCTTCTGTAATTTTGTATTGTTGTTGTTATTGTTAGGTGCTGTTGAGTCATCTCCAACTCATAGTGATGACCCTATGTGCAGCAGAAAGAAACACTGCTCAGTCCTGTGCCAGCCCCATGATCCTTGCTATACTTGAGCCCATAGTTGTAGCCACTATGTCAATCCAACTTTTTGAGGGCCTTCCCCTTTTTGGTTGATTCTCCACTTTACCAAGCATGATACCCTTCTCTAGGGAATGGTACAGTCTTACAACATAACCAAAGTAGATGAGACAAAGTCTGGCCATTCTCACTTTCAAGCAGCATTCTGACTGCACTTCTTCCAGGACAGATTTGTTAGTTCTTTTAGCAGTCCATGGTACTTTCAGTGTTTTTTGCCAACACCAAAACTCAAAAGCATCAATTCTTCGGTCTTCCTTATTTATTGTCCAGCTCTCACATGCATATGGGGTGAATGAAAATGCCATGGCTTATGTTAGGTGCACCTTAGTCTTCAAGGAGATATCCTTGCTCTTAAGCACTTGGAAGAGGTCTTTTGCAGTAGATTTGCCCAATGCTGTATGTCATCTGATATCCTGACTGCTGCTTCTATTGATGTTGATTGTAGAACCAAGTAATATAAAGTCTTTGACAACTTCAATCTTTTCTCCATTTATTGTGATGCTGCTTATTGGTCAAGTTGTGAGGGTTTTTGTTTTCTTTGTATTGAGGTGTAATCCATACTGCAGACTGTAGTCTTCAATCTTCATCAGTAAGTGCTTCAAGTAGTCCTTACTTTCAGTAAGCAAAGTAGTGTCGTCTGCATATCACAGGTTGTTAATGAGTCTTCCTCCAATCCCAGTGCCACATTTTTCTTCATATAGTCCAGCTTCTTGGATTATTTGCTCAGCATAAAGATTGAGTAAGTATGGTGACAAGATACAACGCTGATGCACCCCCTTCTTGATTTTAAACCATGCAATGTCCCCTTGTTCGGTTTGAATGACAGCCTCCTGGTCTACGTACAATGCATTTTTATATTTTGTACTAAGTTCTGCAAGTTACCCAAATTATCGTTGGCACACTTAAGAGTAGCACTACAAAGTTTAGGAAAATGAATCATATTTTTGAAGGAATATTAGCCCAAATGAAGATTTAGTAAACAAGAAATTCCCTTAAAATCGCCACACAATTCTCCACCACTCCAGTTTCTTTTTTGTTTTGTTTCTGCCACCATGTAATTTCAGATGAATTGCTTTAACTTCTCCAGACCTCAGTTCCCTCTTTTTCAAAAGTTAGGGATTAGATTAGTTAATATTTATGCTCCGTTTTAGGTCTAAAACTTTTTTTTTCTTTTGTTGTGGTTTGAGTATCTAAAACATTTGTAACATCTCACAAATTAAAAGGTTGGGCAATCTACTTCCATAGTGATACCTCCTTGGAAACCCAAGGAGGGGTTGCTATGGGTCAGGGCCGACTCGATGGCACATAACAACAACAACAACACAATTAAATTGCTTTCTTCAAGCACTAGAATGCAAGATAAATAAATTTTTTCTTATTTTTTGAAAATGTAATGACCAATTTTAAAAGATAATCTTGTCTGTATTTTTGTTGTAGTATACATATCATGACCTTTCCTTTGGGAATACAGCCTTCCATTTCAGCATTGTAAATGGTATGTAACATAGGAGCCTCTTTGGCATCAATGAGTCCTGCCTCTGACAAGTATTGGCTTTGTAATTTCAGGCAAATTACTTAATCTTGCTAGGCTTCAATTTCCTCATGATTTGTAAAGTAGAAAATCAGAAAAAGAGAGGAAGACCCTCGACAAGAAGGACTGACACAGTGACTGAACAGTGTGCTCAAACATAGCAATGATTTTGAGGAGGGTGCAAGACTAGGCAAAATTTTGTTCTGTTGTACATAAGGTTGTTATGAGTAGGAACTGACTTGATGGCACATAACAACAACAAGATGAGGATAATAATGTGCTTTGTAAAGTTATTGTGAGGATTAGATAATAAATATAAAGTGCTTAGCACAAAGCCTGGCCAATAGGAAACACTCAATATATGTTACTCATTGACATCAAGTCCTGACTCAGCAACCCTCAGGACAGAGTGGAAATGTCCCATAGGGTCTTCAAGGCTGTAATCTTTACAGAAGCAGACAGCCACATCTTTCTCCTGCCTAGTGGCTGGTGGATTTGAACTGCCAACCTTTTGGTTAACAGCCAAGCACTTAACTGCTGTACCACCAGGGCTCCCCAATATATGGCACCTAATGTTATTAAAATTTGTCCCAGATTCTTCCTAATCAACATATAAACACATTTTATAATGTAACCACTTACATCATAAATTGGGGACTGATTCATTCAATAAATATTTATTGAGTTAATTAATTAATTAGTGACCAGAATTTTCCTGATGGAAACTGACCTAAAATACTTTTTTTTTCCTCTTTGCAGGTTTTATACTGTACTTTAAACACACCAAAAGTTGATATGGAAAGACTCTTAGGAGTACAAATAGGTCTTGAAGATTTCATATTTGCCCATGTGAAAGGACTTATGAAAGAAGTGAATGTGTATAAATCCGAGGATTCACTTGGTCTCACCATTACAGACAATGGTGTTGGGTACGCTTTTATAAAGGTAAGTTTTTTTTTTTCTTTTTTTAAAAAATCCCAACTGTATGACCTAATTGAGATTAAATTTAAGAAAAGCTATCATGTCAAACAAAGTTAGAAATGATTCTCAGAATGAGAGTCCCTCAGCAAGAAGTGATGGATTGGTAATGTTTCACTTTGATTTAAAAATATATGTGATATACCTTGTTCACCATCTTCTTGACTTCCCTTCAGTTTAAACTTCTTCTGGGATTGAGAGCTTATTGGAAAGGAAAGTCTGGTCCTGGTCCTTACTCATTATCCATATAAGCTCTTCCAGGTCTGTAGCTCATTAACGTCTGATGAAGTCATGCCGATTTCACTGATTTAGTAGCACTTCCATCTGCACATATTTTTGGTGTACCTTATTTGCTACTATAAAAATGTTCTTCAACATTATCTGAATCAAAAATTCATTTATTTAAATGCAAATTGCAATATAGAGCTGTAAAGTCAAGAAAAAGAAGTTTGAAAATAATATGATAAATTATAAGAATTGAGGAGTGGTAGAAAGAAACAGACTCACCTTTGAACAATGACAGTTGCATATGTGTAATAAGTAGTTGTAATAATAACAACTAATATATCAAGTGCTTACCACGTAGTAAGAAAGTTATATATATTTTCTCATTTAATCTTTGTAACTGTTCTATTTGTTTGGTACTATGCTTTTTTCTTTTCACTTATTTTTTTGTTCAGGTATAACTAATAGTTAAAATGCAGAACATTTTTTTAAATTATTATTTTTTTTGTTGAGAATATCCATAGCAAATATACACCAATATTTCCTACATGCACAATTCAGTGACATTGATTACATTCTTCGAGTTGTCCAACCATTCTCATCCTCCTTTTCTGAGTTATTCCTCCCCTAGTAACATAAACTCACTGTCCCCTAAGTTTCCTATCTAATCTTTAAAGTTAGAATGCACAGATTTTAAATGTACAATTTAATAAACGTTTACATGTATACATCTGTGTAACCACTACCCAGTTGAAGGTATAGAGCATTTTTACCACCCCAAAGGCTCTTGTGTGCCCCTTTCCTGTCAACATTCTTCATTCCCTGAAGATACTACTATGTGACCTCTAGCCCCATAGTTTTTCTTGTTCTAGTACATTATCAGTGGAATCATAATTATATCCTACCATTTCTGGGTTATTATTTTTTTTTCATTCAACATGATATCTGTTAGATTTATCCATGGTAGATACTATTAGCAACTACTCTTTGGCAGATGTAGAATCAAGGCCAGGAAGGATAAGTAACTTGCCCAAAATTATACAACTGAACAAATTCAGCATTTGAATATAGTGATTTGACTCCCAAGCTAGCATTCCTAACCACTAAGCTAAGAATTAGTGCTAAGTTTCATGCCACAGAACAAGTTTTGTGCCTTTATTTTATCTAAATTCCTAATTTGCTTTTGTATTGTCATCATTGAAGAAATAGTCTTGGGGAAGTTATCTGCTTAACTGTAAATAGTACTTTATTTAACTTCCCACTTGATAGATTGGCTATTTTTAGCTCTGCAAGAGATATGACTGTACTGAAGGTTGAGAGGGTGACCAAATGGAAAATCCGAGAGTTGGGAAAGTCATGTGGGATTATCTAGGGGAAGCTCAGGACATGAGGCACATGCAGCAGTGCCTTTCTAATGTTAGCAGAGAAGAGCTTGGAAGATTTGCAAACATACGTGGACTTTCTAGATCTTGTCCTCTGACGTCCAAAAGCTTGTATTTCTATTATTATTTTAAGTGCTGTATCAAACATGTCTGTGCCTCAGAGTACTAGTCACTATCCCTGTAGAGACAAGGAACATGGTGGGAAAGGAGAAAGTGGAGCAAAAGCCAAACTGCCAACATATGGTTCAACTTAGAAGAGAGTTGAAATCATATTGTGTACAAGATTTATATAAAAAATGTATTTTTTGAAATTATAGAGAAGTTGTGATAATAATACAAAGGATTCCTGTATCTTCTATCCAGATTTGCCACTTTTTACTACTTTGTAATATAGGTTTTCTTGTTTTTTACATTATGCCCATTTGTTGTTGTTGTTAGGTGCCATCAAGTCGTCTCCAGCTCATAGCAACCCTGTGTACATCAGAACCTGTCTACCTGGGTGAGCCTGCTGGTATTTGAAATACTGGTGACTTAGCCTCTACCCTCACAGCAACATGCAAGCCACCACAGTATGACAAACTGGCCGATGAGTGGTGGTTATGCCCATTTACCCTTTAATATTTTAGTGTATATTTACTAAGAGTAAGGCTATTCCATTATGTACAACTATAGTACGTTTATGAAATTCAAGAAATCTAACACTGATATAATATTTTAAAACTAATCTAATGGTCTATATTGCAGCTTTACTATCTGTCCTAATTGTCCTTTTTAGCATTGTTTCCCCCAACAGTTTCCCATGCAGGTTTAATCAAGAATCATGCATTTCATTTAGTTTTCATTTAGTTTTGGTTTTCTTTAATCTAGAATAGTTCCACACATCCATCTATAGGATGTCCCTCGATTTGGGCTTGTCTGATGCTTCCTCATGTTGACAATTGGTTATATATGTGTTTTTGCCAGGAGAATTACAGAAATGATGCCATATTCTTCTCTTCTTGAGTCCTTGGATGGTGCAAATGGTTAAGTGCTTGGCTACTAATATAAGGTTGGTGGTTTGAACCCACCCAGAGGCACCTCAAAAGACAAGCCCAGTGATCTGCTTCTGAAAGGTCACAGCCTTGAAAACTTAATGGAACAGTTCTACTCTTTACACATGGGGTCACCATGAATTGGAATTGAGTTGGTGGCAGCTAACAACATTCTCAGTGCACTGCATCAGAAGGTCCATGGTATTGATTTATCCCACTATTATTGATGTTAATTTTCATTCCTGATGAAACTTTTCAGGTGAAAAGACAGTAGATTTAAACATTTATGATTATAGTACTCAAATCTCAACATTTCCTAACACAAAATATAGTATATAAATAATCAGAAAATTCAACATGTCTTTACTTACAACACCACCTATAAATTCCTAATACAGTTAAAGGCAGAGGTTGACATTATTTTTCTATAAAGGACTTGTTGTTGTTATGTGCCGTCAAGTCAGACCCAACTCATAGTGACCCCCTCCTTCGGTTTCCCAGGCAGTATCACTATGGAAGTAGATTGTCCCATCTTCCTTCCGAGGAGTGGCTGGTGGGTTTGAACCGCCAGCCTTCTGGTTAGCAGTCAAATGCCTTAGCCACTATGCTACCAGAGCTCCCCTGTAAAGGACTAGATAGTTAATATTTAAGGCTTTGTGGGCCATATGGTTCCTGTTGTAACTACTCAACTTTGCCATTGTAGCTTGAAAACAGCCATAGATAATGCATAAGTGAATAAGCATGACTTTTATGGACACTGAAACTTGAATTTCATATAATTTTCATGTCACAAATACTATGCTCCTTTTGATATTTTTTTAACCTTTAAAAAGGTGAAAACCATTTATAATTTTCAGGCTGAATAAAAACAGGTAATAGGCTGAATTTGGCTTATAAGCCACAATCTGCTGATGCCTGGTTTAAGAGAAGAGACATATATTTTCAGATTCAGAATAAAAATAAGGATTTATATCATGAAACTAAAAATGAAGTTAAATTTACATTTTCTTTAAAGACCAGAGTTCATATTGAATTGAAATGTGAATAACCACAAAACCTGTCATACTCAGAATACTCTCATATTTCATATCTCATGTTGTTGTTGTGTGCCGTCAAGTTGGACCCGACTCATAGCGGCCCCTCCTTGGGTTTCTGAGGCAGTATCACTACAGAAGTAGATTGCCCAATCTTCCTTCTGAGGAGTGGCTGGTGGGTTTGAACTGCCAGCCTTCTAGTTAGCAGTCAAGTGCCTTAGGTACTATGCTACCAGGGCTCCTATATAGAAGTCTTTATTATTTGGAGTACTGTTTAGTAAAACTAAAATGTATTACATTTTAGAGTGATCTTCATTCTGAGAAATAGGATGATCACATATTCCTAATTTTTGCTAATTTAATTATCCAGAGGTAAAAAACAGCAAGGCTGTAGTATAGGAGGTCAAGGGGACAGGGTGCCTTTTATTGGAAGTTAGGATCTATGAATAGCAGGATGTAAAGTGAGACTAGAAGTGATGACCTAAGAAAATAGATAATGGTTGAGATCTGGGAGTCAGGATATAGATGAAAAACAGATTCTGTGGAAGGAAAGGGGAAGTAGACAGGTAAAGTGGTCAAAGAAGGAAATTTCAGAGTTCAGAGGTGATAGATCATTTTGGATAACTATAACCCAAAACAAGGAGCTTTGGTGTCACAGTGGTTAATGCACCTAGCTGCTAACAAAAGGGTTGGCAATTTGAACCCACCAGCTGCTCCATGGAAAAGATTAGGCAGTCTGTTTCTGTACAGATTTACAGCCTTCGAAACTCTGTGAGGCAGTTCCCACTCTGTTCTATAGAGTTGCTGTGAGTCATAATTGACTCATTGGCAGTGGTATGTTTATAACCCGAAACACTGCTGCAGAATCAGAAGACCTTGGGCTCTAGACCTGACTTTCTTCTTCTTCTTCTTCTTCTTCTTCTTTTTTGACTAGCCATCTGATCTTGTTAGTTAGATCTATCTGATTCTACGTGTTTTGTGGAAATGGCATGGCATGGCATTTTACAATTATACCACCTTAGTTTGAGATCCAGTTTTGCTGTTTAGAGGCTGTGCTGTTTTGGTCAAGCTGCCTAATCTGGTGTCTTGGTTTTTTCATACATTAAATGGAATAATAAGTATTCTCCTAGCATTGTTGGGCAAGAAGTGGTGCACTGGTTAAGTGCTTGGCTGGTAACTGAACATCAGCTGTTAGAAACCACCAGCTGGTCCACAGGAGAAAGATGTGTCAGTACACTTCCATAAAGGTCACAGCCTTTGATACCCTGTGGGACATTTCTGCTCTGTCCTATAGGGTCACTGTAAGTCAGAATTCATTAGATGGCAATGAGTTTAGGATTGTTGGAGGATTAAATAAGGTAACTATTTATAATATTTATAATTATAATGTGAGTGTTATTTTATTCTTACAAATAAGGTTTGGGGACAGTGTTGGACGGGTCAGTAGCACAGATCTGAAAGTTGCTGAGCATTGTGACTCAGACAATCATTGTGCCTGATGCTCAAGGTTTTGAGGAGGGTAGGATGCTATCCTAGAGTTCTACTAATGTCTCTGATGAGAAGATGGAGTTCTATAACTATACGGGATGAATATAATGGAATATACTATAATAAAGATCTGAAATGGTTGAGAATCTTTGGGTTTATATATATTGTAAATTCTGTCTTCCAAAAAATAATAATGAGTTCCTTCTGTCCTTGCAGCATTAAGTTGGAAAGCCAGGTAAGAGAAAGTTCATGTGTTATACAGAGAATGATATAAGTGATCCTGTAAATATAAGCATAGAATTAGTGCATCTCTTTTTTCTGCTCTTAACCCTTTGTAGCTGAGTAGCATATTTAGCAATGTTAGTAATCTCTAACAAGTTATAGTACAATTATCAAATTGTGGTGTAGTAAATTACATAATGTGGCTTTCTAGCCATAGTCTTTGTAAACTCTGTAGTGGAATTTGCCACGAGCAACTGAATAGCTCTTGATTGTTAAAGTTATCTACCTGGAGTATTTCTGTTGAGAGTGGCATGAAGCAACCTTCTGGGGAAGTTCGGTCTCTCTGAGGTGGATAGAATTCTAATGTTGGGATTGGTTAGTTTGGCCATTCTGCCAGGCTCAATAGGAGCCCTCCTAGAGGGAGAAGGAATCTCTCACTGCTGGCTGAGAGACACACATTGCTGAGAGAGAGATGTGAGAGACACGGAGAGGCATGCACTGCTGGGAGAGAGCTGAGAGATGGTGGGCTGAGAGAGACTGAGCCTGTTCTTGAATTTGAATTATAGCCTGTTACTTCCCTAATAAACCCCATAATCTGTGAGTTCTTTGTGGACACTGCAGTGAATTACTGAACCTAGCAGAGAGGTGGTGGGTGCTGTGGGAGGAATGGTTGGTGTCAAGGTTGGTGAAAGCAATGGTTGGAGGGAGGCCCCATATCTGGCCTTGCAGGAATAGGCCTTGGGCTACTGATGGTGATTCTCCTCTTGTGGGGTTAGAGGAGGTCAGAGGATGGGGCCTCCTTATCTCTTTGGCAATTAATCTCCAGAAACTCATTTCAGTTGCTACTTCATGCTTTACCCACTTAGAAGGATAGGGCTCAGGAAACCCGTAGAATGTATATTCAAATTCTCCAACTTTTTTGCTTCTATGTGGAGTTGACTTTATGATGCTTTTCTTTAGGTCCTTTATATCATCCTGTCTCCTTGTCCCAGATCCTGTTCTGCTGCCTCTGATAACTACTTTGATTTTTCCCTTGCCCATCTGTATTCTCACTTGACTGCCTGTTCTGACTTTTGGTAACTTCCTTTCTTTCCTCTGCCTAGACACCCTTCTGATGACCTCTGTGACTACTCACAGGCTGGGTGAGTCTAGGTTCCTGTTACTTTGACTTTTACTAAGTTCCTGTTACTCTGACCTTTAATTTGGTGATAAGGTTTATATATATCTTTAAGATCTTTTACTTTATGAATTCTATGTAATCATAGTGGCTAAGGCACTTGACTGGTAACCAGAAGGCAGGCGGTTCAAACCCACCAGCCACTCCTTGGAAGGAAGGTTGGGCAATCCTACTTCCGTAGTGATACTGCCTCGGAAACCCAAGGAGGGGTCGCTATGAGTCGGGGCTGACTCGACGGCAAACAACAACAACAACAACATGTAATTCTTATTTTAAATAAAATTATAACAATAAGTCTTAAAAATGAAAATAATATGTAACAGGACACTGAAATTTGTATAGTATAATTGATTAAAGAAAAATTGGAATACAAATGAAGAAAAAGTAAAGTTAAACAGATTTTTTTGAATTCTCTTAATGGCTTAAGATTGGTTATGTAACAGAGTATTTAATAAAGAATTTTTATAATTTTTTTTCTTTAGACATTAATCTTTTATTTGACCTTGTTTATTTTTCTGTGACAGTTTAGAAATTCCAGTTTTACTAAGTGGCGTATTTGTGGTTACTGTCATTTCTGTTGGTTATATAAGGCTAATACATATTTATAATAAAATAATGTCAGATTTTGAAAGCTATAGTTTCCTTGCTTTATAATTAACTATTTGTGGTGACAAATAAGAGGACACAGTGTTTAAAGTGCTTGGCTACTAACTGAAAGTTCAGTGGTTCAAACCTACCATCCCCTCTGTGGGAGAAAGATGAAACAGTATGCTTTTGTAAAGATTTATAGCCTTGAAAACCCTATGGGGCAATTTTACTCTGTTTTATAGGGTCATTACTGACTATTTATAAATTGACTTGATGGTATTGGGTTTGGTTTGGTGGGTTTTGGGTAACAAATAATATGCTCTGTTTGAAATGGCATTGTGTCATTTGCATAATTCCCCTTAACAGTTACCATGGCAGTGAACATAGAAATATTCTTAAAATTTTGGAGTAAAAGGAAGCGGACTATGAGTTTTGTTATATTATCAAAACCAAAACCACACTCACTTCTGTTGAGTCAGATCCGACTCACAGTGACCCCTACTTGGGTTTCCAAGGCAGTATCACTATGGAAGTAGATTGCCCAATTGTCCTTCCAAGGAGTGGCTGGTGGGTTTGAACCACCAGCCTTCTGGTTAGTGGTCAAATGCCTAGGCACTATGGCACCAGAGCTCCTTTTCGTATATTATAATTTAAAAATTAAAAATGGCTAATCTTTCCACTTCAGTCTTTTACAACTTTTTTTTTTTTTTTTTTTCTGGTAATAATATTATGGAGATGCTTGGGTACATGAGATCAGTCTATCTCATGACTTTCAGGCACAAAGATCACCCCACTGGTCCCACCTAACACCTACCAAGGGTGGGGAATACACATACTTTATTAAACATTAGCAGCAGCCCCTAATACTTCTATCTGATCATCCCTATGAAGAATTCTGTGATTCCTGAGGTAGACTGTGGCCTTCATGTTGCCCAGTTCCTTACCACTGTGAAAGATCTTGTACATCCTTCTGTAGAGCTGTTGCCACTGAAGAATTTTCTAGAGCAATTATCCTAAAGGTCCTTTCAGAAATTTTTGTTGCCGTCTTGGCCTTATTTTGAGACTCTGCATCATGGATGGTTGGTGGATGTGGTGTATAAAAGTAAGACAAATTTAAGAAAGATTAACTTGAAGCTTCTCCTTGGGTTCTGAGTTGTCATCACTTACATAAATAAAAAATGGTAGTATAAAATTACCCTTAAAACAAAACAAAAAAAAAGCCAAACTAACTGCCATTGATTTGGATCCAACTCATGATGATCCCTCCTTGAATTTCTGAGGCAGTATTACTACAGAAGTAATTACCCTTACTGGCTTTCAAAATAGTAAGCACACCTATCTTTGGTTAGGTATCACTCTTAGCTAAGATTATACTATTTGAGTCTTTGCATTGATAACTGAGGTTTAGAAAATGTAGCCAGTAGGAAAAACTCAACCTCTGTTCTTATGAGCCTCATGTTGAAATGATTCAGAGATCATTTATGGTACGACTTTTCCATGGCAATCATTGTGCTAGGCACAGGGCATACAATGGTGAATGTCCCCTAAAACATTACAATTTAGTATTAGTGATTGGAAGGTAAATGAACAATTACAGGGTAGTATGTTGAACTTTAGGAGTCCCTGGGTGGTACAAACAGTTAAGCCCTTAACTACTACTAGCTAAATGGTTGGTGGTTTGATCTTACTTAGAAATACCTCAGAAGACATGGCTGGCAATCTTTTTCTGAAAGGTCACAGCTTTGAAAACCCTATGGAACAGTTCAACTCTGCACATACGGGGTTGCCATGAGTTGGAATCAACTTTACAGCAACTAACAACAACAACAAACGTCAAACATGGAAAAGTTGCTTATCTTTCTAAGTCTCAAATTTCCGCATCTGTTATGTGAGAGTCTCTTAAAAGTTAGAATTAAATGAGGTAGCAAATGTGAAGTGCTTAGCTTAGAGCTCAGTGTAAGGAGAAAAAATACTGTAGAGCATGAGAGTTGCACCTTGCCCTCTCTTGGGGAGGGTGGGTGGGGAGACTAGAAAATGTCAGGTAAAGCTTCCCAGAGGAGGTAGGAAGATTGAGGTTGAGTTCTGAATGATCAAGAAGAGGAAGAGATGGAGGTGAGATGTTTGTCTTTTGTTTCTTAGTCTTCCATCTGTAATTGAGCCTTGAACTACATTGCTAATATGTCAATACATTATATAAATTACCCCATGAGTATGAAAAGTTATGTTGTACAGTTCTATTTTACATTATATGTTACGGGTAATTTTCTTTTTTTTCAGAGAATCAAAGCTGGTAGCCTTATTGACTCTGTTAAAACAATCTGTGTGGGAGATCATATTGAATCCATAAATGGAGAAAGAATCGTTGGATGGCGTCATTATGATGTTGCTAAGAAGCTAAAAGAATTAAAAAAAGAGGAACTATTTACCTTGAAGTTAATAGAACCTAAGAAGGCATTTGGTGAGTCTCTCTCTCTCTCTCTGTGAATTGCTTCCATCTCTGGCTTATCTTAGGGAAGTGTGTCTTGTGGTACCACAAGCCATAGTATACCTCCTTATGTAACATATCACTTAGGAGCCCACTGCTTATAAGGAATAGAACTATTAAAGGAAGATAAAGAGAAAAGAACTTTCCTTGTAGTGGACATTTTTCTAAAAAAGACATTTTGAATAAAGAAGTTCAGTGTCTAGTGGCTTTGAATTTGTTGTGCCTGTACCACCTTCTAAGAACAGAACATTGTATTTCATTCAATTTGCTGAGCAGTACAATTGTTGATTGAATTCTTGACATCATAATAACTGTCTTTCATGGACCTCAACAATAAAAATTTCAGTTACACATGGAATCAGTACTTAAAATAGTTATCTATTTTAAAGACTTACTTCACCAATATTTTTCCTCCATTGGCATTTTAAATTTGGCAGCATGGGATGGTATGAAATTACTTCAGTCTGATGTGAAATCTATACTTGCTTAGGTTTAGCCATGGCAGCTGTATCCCAACTGCTGTTCAAACCCCTAGGGCCATCTCCTCTACAGGAAAAAGTGCCAGCTTCCCTCTCACTACCCAGCACTATTTTAATGAGCACAAATGATGGCCTAATGTTCATCAGTGTTAAAATATCTTCAGCAGAATCATTCCAGGCCTGCCTCATCCACAACCCCACCCACCCTATGTTCTCTCCTCTGCTCACAGAAATAAATATTCCTTATATAGTAAAACCTGTGAAAGATGGAACCGGTGCAAGGCAGAACCTGTCAGAGAAGGAAAACCCAAATGTTTTCTAGTAGGAGAGATAGAAAAGTAGTAAGACTACACTGTCCAAGGCAGAAAACTTTCAACACCCACAAAAACAAGGCTGTCCTGTCGAGTTCCAGCTCTCACAGGTTTCATTATAGTTTGTTTCTAGGAGGCTTTCTCATAGGAGCTCTGGTAGCATAGTGCCTAAGGCACTTGACTGCTCACCAGAAGGCTGGCGGTTCAAACCCACCAGCCACTCCTCGGAAGGAAGGTT